TAGTTTATTTTACACAACAAATAGAGCACTTTGGAAATTACTTAATGAGGGCTAACAAGAATAAGAGAGGAGACATGAATGAACTTCAGTATTCAAAATTTAAAAAAAAAACCCTTGTGGGCATTGATTATTATGAATTCTTTTGGTTTTTGTACAAGTGAACATAGAACTCTCTTGAGTCTGGAGACGATCGATACAGTGAACATGACTCTATCTTGTTTCAAGTCCATTCACTAACCTTGTGTATTTACAGTTCTGCAATTACTGAAACCCTTCTAACACAAATGTTTCTTAACTACAGCACCTAGTTCTAATGAGATTAACTTCAACTGGCTGAGATTTCACCTATCTTTCAGTCTCACACTTGTTTATGCAGGGCCTTTTCATTTAAATTTTGTCCTACTAAAGCCTCTAAAGGCTTCAAAATGTCTTCTGCTAGGAAATCAAGCCAAAAAAAGCAAATAAGCACCATTTTAATACTTTTCAACAAAGATCTGTACATCTTATTGAGAAGGGGGGAAAAGCATAATGACAGATACAAAAACCTAGCTTAAATTTTCCTAAAGCTGGGAACAGCTTTCTACAGTTCCCTCATGTATAGTATCCCACTACTATAGTGCTCACAGCCTTCTACTGCCAAACTGCTCACCTGGTTCAACCAGGTTTTCCAGTTACTTGATTTCTACAGATACATTAGATACATCAAAAAGTGTAACAATATTGTCAGTGTAAAGCAATAACCAATACATAATATTGCCAGCCTGCCAAAGTACTAAAGATTAAAAAATCCCCAATGAAATACAGATAAAAATATATCATGCAGTATCTTCCTGGTGAAAATACTGCAAGAAGTATGAAGTCCACCTTGTTTCAAATTACAACACTATGACTAATGCTCCACCCCACAGAGGTTTTTGTAAAAAAATTCAAAAGAAATTTAACAGAAATTTCTGTCACTATTATATTTCATCAGCAAGCATTTCTTCCAAAGGCCACATGGCTCTCTTGAGGAATCACCATTTCTACATTTAACCCATTTTGAAGACTACTGACCTAAACTGACATTTTGGGAAAAGAGAGGATGCCAGACTTCTTGTTAAGGCAGCCTGAGGTTTCCTACCCACACTTCGATTACATAAAGCTTCCAAATGGTATACAAGCAGGCAATTCCCTAGAAGACTTGGAACAGGGCTTTCAAATTTGCAAGAGAACTTGCCAAAGACCTCTGAGAGATCTTGAACAGCACTGGGAGAGGAATATAGCTCATCTGGCTGACATGAACTCAAGCCTTTTTCTACTGTGAATTATGGTGTCCCTTACCATTAAGTAAGAGCTGTTTGAGCCATACTGCCAAGAAAAAGCCCCTGAGTATCCAATTTCTGCAAGGGCAGGACACAGAGTGCACATCCTCAGTAATAAGAAGGCTTTAGAGCAAAGAGGTATTTCCAGAGGCTCTACCACCTGAATGAGGAGCTGAGAGCAAGTGTATCAGAGGTAAGTAGATCAGCTGTGTGCTTGCTGGCAAAGGTCTAACTTGGCAAACTGTATTGACCATGGAATAAGAAATATGCCAAACAAAGCACTGTCCTATTAAGTGGAAGACCTATCACTTCTCATTCATCACTAACAAGATGCTCAGGGTCTGAACATCTCCAAGCAGAAAAGCCGGAGGAGAAACAGCCTGCTGGATTCTTTACTCCCAGGGCAGGAAACCACTGTGGCTGCCTGATCTGGTACATTTTTTGGCAAGCTGTCTTCAGCAGGCTTGATCATGCCTGTCAGCAAATCCACAAGTTCTACAAACCTTCCCATCTCGACTGCCAATAGGAAAATGTCTGGCACAGTCATTCCCAGCACAAGGAGAGAGAATTCCAGGCTGAGTAGGACACTGCTATTGCTCATGTAAGACCTGTTTTACCTGCCTTCCTGGACAATGACGTTGCACTTCCAGTGCCACCAAAGTATGTTTCCTACATTAAAAGGAAAATGCCCAAAACAGTGAGAAATTCTTTTTTTTTAATATCAGATGGGTCCTTTCACTTGAACAGCATATCTAGGCAGTGGTGGAATTACCCATTTCTTCCTTAAGAACCATCTTCATGACGTATATAATGAAAAGCCAAGCACACAGGCATCTGAGGTATAATTCAGCAGGTGTCAGCAGGTAAGAAAGCCAAAGGCATGGCTATAGATTTCAATTTTCTTAGCCTCAAGACAGGGTGGCCTCCAACCCTTTCTGGGCCCACGGAAAAAAACTGTACTTTGCCACCTACAACTCATAGGAAAATATACCTTTGTCAAGCAATATTCTATGAAAAGGATCTCTGGGATCCTTTAAAATATAAAAGGCAGTTTAAATGAATGGAACTTGCAGTAATCTCAGTCTTTGCTCAACACAATTTCTATCTGCAATAAATTCTGCCTGGTCACAGAAGGCTGAAGAGGAGAAACTGCAGTAAAAACTTGCTTCAACTGCAGGTCACTTCCATGACTTTGGACATTTTTGTGGAAGGGAAATAAAAAGCAACACAGTTAAAGGAGCTGCTCCTTCCTCCAAGGCTGAACTGTAACATCTGAATATGGATTAATGGATATTTGAGAGTCAGAGAAAAGGGACAAGCAGGACCAACAGGTGGCAGAAGCACGAGGTCTGCAGTGAAAGCCTGAAATACCCATCCAGCTTATGAGGAAAAGGCGAGAAATGGCACACCCACTGACTACTGACTTGGAATGCAGTGGAGTGCACAAGGATTTGGGACTGTAGGATACAGCAGATTCTTACTACATCAGCAAGAGCAAACAACTTCCAGAACTAAAAATGTACTCCATGGAGATGGCAATTTTGAGGCTGGAGAAAAATCACAGGTGTCCTTTAGGCATCTGCAAAGTTGATCCTACAGAAACTGGATGTGAAAGAGCATCAAGGTTTTGTTGCAGCCAGAAAGGTCCAGGAAGTCTCTAGGATAAACAGAATAGGATGCCCTAACTGGGCTCTCTAAAGACCATGGTCCTCTGTGGAATAAAGCATTCTAAAACCAGCATTTTGTCCCATAATGACAGTGTGCCACTAGACACTTCTCCTGTTCCTGTACATGTCTCTAGCAGGCCTTTCTGACCACTGTCAGATGGGACAGTGGACTGCCCAGGCCTCTTGTCTGACCTAGTGTCATTGTTCATATGAAGATTTTTACAGAAAACTCCTCACTTCTGGAAGAGACTATGACCTTATTGTTTAAGAAATACATTTGACATCTACACCAATGTTCTTGATTAGGCTAGAAGATGCAGGATTTGTAAATAATGTATTAAAATTCTGACTACAGACATCCTACAGAATGAAAAAAGAAGGGAAATAGATGGGTATGTAAACACACCCCAATATTTTCCTCAGTTGAAAGGAGATGGTATAAAGCAAGGAATGACCAAAGTATTCTGGTTTTAGCATGCTTAATTTTAATTCTTTTAAAGTTTGGCAATATAAGAAAAAGATAAAAAATAGTGTACAAATTTTTTGGGGTTTAATCTGCTTTACTACTACTATATTTTCAGATAAACTGAAAAATCAGTGAGTGGTTATTCTGTTCTTATCTCCCTTCACCTTGTATCTCCATGTTTTCACTGCAGAGCATGTAAAGTGAAAGCCTACATGCAAAAAAAAATACATTAAAAACCATCTATATTTAGTAAAATATTATTAAAAGCCCATATTGAAATAAAGACAAATCCTAAGCATTCAGTTCTGGTACTATGTATGTTAGTCTTGCATGCAAAAAACACCCATGCTTCAGGTTAAAGTGATTACATTATAATTAGTTATTGATTTATATTTACTCATTTATAACACTTACTATGTGCTATAATAACAACAATAATAAATATCAGTGGGATAATTTCCTTTATGGAGTCTTTTAGGTGGTATTTTCTGATATATATTCCTATCAATTCTCAGTTACACTATGACAGTGTTGATGCAGCCCTATGGAAATCATTTCAATTTATTAGGAATTCTTAAGATTACTATTGAAAACCAATAAATTTTCAAAACATCAACTGTATCTTAGTAATGTGAAAATTTAAAGCAGCTTATTTGCCATGCATATTTTCTTCCAAATTTTATATTTGCTTTGCAGATCACATATGAGATTACATGAATAGGAACATGGGAAAAATTACTCTTACAAAAACCCCTTACTAAAAGAATCACTTATTCATAAGAACCCTGAACCTGAAGCATGGTATATTTTCACAGAATTATGGGGTTTTTTTTTGAATGTGTACATGAACCATCAAAAAAGCAGCCACTTCTTTAACAGTAAACAGTTGCTTTTGTTAGACTACCCCCGCCCTAAAAAAATGCGGATTTCCCTGTTCTAAGATCATAATTACTAAGCATTCCTCATACACTGCTTTAAAGCTACACCATGCAAAAAAATCCTGCCAAGGGTTTTGGCCCTTGTATTTTATCTTTCACAACCAATTTCACAATACTGACAGTTAAAAGAATAATAATAAAAGTCATCCAGATGTAACACACACCTCTGATGAAGGCTCTGGGTGATGGCTAATCCTTTCTAGCCACGTGAAGCAGTGCAGACCTACAGTAAAAAATTAATCTACACAGACCTTCTCCAGAATTTCACAGGATATTTATATATACAATAAATGCAGTGTGGATTCCAGCAGAGACACCCATACATATATATGCATATATATATATGTATTTTTTTCCTTTCACCAACATAAATGCTATCTCTCCAGACATTAATTTTATTTATAATATGAGAGACCTTTATAAGCTCAGTGTACACTCACAAAAACAGACAGATATGCACACACCTTTCCAGATGAATAATTACATAAAACAGGGTCCCTTACTGTTCTCAGCTCTGCAAAAATACTGCAGTCATGAATTAAACATCACCTTCCAAAGTTCTCTGTTTTGTGCCTCTCTGGCAAGGTTTCTGGGAACACTGATTAGAATCTGAATAGCTTTACATTACCTCCAACCTTAGGCCCACCAGCTGATCCTGGCTTTCTTGCACTGTTTGAAGGATTTCCTGGCTTTTTAGGTGCCGGAACCTTGAAGGCTGAAGCAGCTGATGATGGCCTATTTCCATCCACTGACTCTTCATCATCAAAGCTTTTGTCTAGAAAAAGATACGTTAAATAAAAATAGAGCTATTAGAATGGGTGTATTTTCATTTCCTAACAAACTATTTTCCTTCACATTTCACAGAAATTCACAAAATGCATAAATAAAAACAAGTATTTATCACTTTGTCCTGTTTCTGATCTAGGAATAAATTACAATGGGAGATAAACAGCATTTTCCACATTTCACATTCTTATAAAATATTATTTTAGCTTCATAATTAACCACAGTAGAACTGAGCATAAAAAAACGAATCCTACACATCCACTCCCACAAAGGAAAAATATCTTTGCAGAGCCCGAATTTTTTTAATAATTTCTTAATATTTTCCCCAAATGAAAGCCCTTAATATAATTTTAATCATTCCAGTCTACCGAAGAAAAATGCTTCTCCTTTTCTTTCTTTCACTCATGCATGCATTTTCTGCTACACATCCTCCCACAATGTGTCTAACTAGCACTCCCTGTCTCCTTCCTTCCACCCAGATTTTTCAACTTACAATCACAGATCCTCTTGCAGATCAGCCGCCTCATTCCTCTGATAGCTCTTCAATCCCCTCACCCTAGGACGGACCCAGCACCTCACATGGCCACATGCAGTAAATTCTTAATACTAATCCAAGATTCTATCAAAATCTGCTCGCAAACACCCTAGATCCACCACTGAGATTTGTGCCGGCATCTTTCTCTCCCTTCCCTGCACTAGGTGCTGCACAACCAATGAGCTGCAAGGTGACATCATCTTCTGGGAGCCAACGCCAGAGGAAAAGGTGAAAATTCTCCATGCCAATAAATTCATTCCCACACATGGTATTTGCCACTATTCCAATCCTTCGTTTGAAAAATTAGACAGGCAGACAATATTCAGAAAGAGGGCTTGCACTCCTCTTTCCTATAATTTCAGGTTTGTGTATTTTTAATCGTGAAAGAAATTCAAGCCTAGTGACTAAACAGTCTTAATTCAAAATACTGTGCCTTAAAAGAATCCCAACATATTCCAACAGTAGAACATAATGTTTTCCCCACCCACTTAGGGAAGAAGGATTTATCTATAAGCTTGAGCACAGAAAACATCCAGCCTATGGTTCCTATAATAAATAAAATGGGCGAGGCTGAGACACAGCTGCACTACAGTAATGAAAAACCAATTTAGCATATTACCTGCTCTAAAACCTGCCATCTGTTAAAAAAAAAAATATATTGCAAAACTTCATCATCTCTGGAATGGTTAAATGTTTACCCTTTGCTAATTCAGTACTCGCTCCCAGGGAAATGTCAACTATATTTAACAATGTAGCCTCCCAGAGGAAGGCAGCTTACATTAAAGGGTATAGCAAGGTTTTGTCCAGCAGCACTGGCAACACCATCGAACGTCACAACACCCTGCATTTAATGTGTCCAACATCACTGCTGCTATAGTTAGCACATTTTTCTAGCATTTGCCAAAAGCTATGCTTTGCACTGATGAATCTCCATGATCAAAGAAACAAACCATCACAAGAACAATATGGATGCATACTACCAATTTGCATTAATATTACTTGCTCCTCTCCTATAAACATGGATTTTTAAGTGAATCTTGCTAAGAGTAATTGTTTGGATCGGTAAACTCTCCGAATGGGAGGAAAAGGCATCAGCCTTCCCCCTCACTGTCCTGTGTGTTGCCATGGAAACAGCACTCCCGCTCAGCATACTGGCTGAGCCAGAATACATTTTGATTCCTGATGCTTTTACTCTCACTATCTTAAATAGAACCAGACATCAAGAATTTGAGCAAGGAAAACCACTAACACAAAGGCCAGATTAAGTGAAATGACTTAAACACTGTCATAGAAGGGTAAATGGCAAGGGTTAATATCTAGGATACCTGCAGCATGACAGGTAATTTTAAATTAGAAATATCTTGCAGATTTTTGAACAGCATGATCAGATCAACACCGACACGTGAGTATGGAATCATGAAAACAGACGAAAAGTGAAAACAGGCTTCGCAAATAAAAACGGTTCTGCTGCTGCACTTCCAAATCTGATGAAGAAACAGGCAAGACTTTCATGCTACTACCCAACAGCTCTATAATGCTGCACTGATATGCAAATATTGCACAAGCCTTTGAAACAATAAAGTTATTTGCAATACAATCCTAAAAATAGAAACTAAACATTTGCTCATTTATGCAAAATCTCCTAATCAAGAAAAATCTAGACAACCCCAAACAACTGTGTACTTTGGGAACCAGTGACTCAGATAAAATAATTTTATTTTTACCAAACAATTCATTATGAAGGAGTATTAAAGATGTACCAAAGATGGGTAATTTTACAAGGTATTGCTCAACCCCAAAATGTGCAAATAGAATTCCAGAAAAAAAACCATGCAAAAACAAACGTTTCGACCTACTGACGTACTGTGTATATTAGAAGATACACTGAATGATGTTCTTGGTAATACTGTCAGATTACTTTGCCTAGTTAAAGAGTATTTTTTCATACATTTTAATAATTGTTAACACTGGATTAAAAATCTACACTATGAAATAGTTATATACAGTTTTTCAGTCCACATAAAACTCATATTTTTAAAATAAATGTCTATTTTTTTTAAGATGCACAGAACTCATTTAAGCCACTGATACATGGGTGTTCTTAACCAGACTTTTCATGGTTTATGTTAAAATAAATTAAAAATTGCTGTGCAGTTACTTGAAGTGTTCCAAAGTAAGAGCACAGTACCATAAGCATGTAAAATTAATGGCTGAAAAGGATCTGTTTGAATTCTATTAACACTGAAGTGATAATGCAGCTGAGCCTCTTTTGTTCTGGATTTGTTTATTTTTTAAATAAACATAAGCAGGAAAATTTCATACTGTCTTTTAAAGAAACCACAGGTTTTCCCCACCCTTTTAGGCCTTTACACTTTTACTTCCCTAGGATTTACCATCAAAATCCTGAGTGATTTTAGGGACATTCCATTTTCAGAAATATACCTTACACTGTGGAGATCCAAAACCTGAAGTCTGTATTTACAGCACTTCATGAAAACAGAGCCCAATACTTGCTTCCCCTACAGTGCACCCTCCATGTGCTCTCACTCATCTGCAATGATCCACTTGTTGGTAGCTCCTGAAAAAGCTCCATGTACTAGAGCATGGAGAAGCCCAGCTCCAGTTGTAACTGTTGGTCCCCAGGGCATAATCAAGGAGCAGTTCTGCTCAATATGGCTTTACTACGTGCCTTTGGCTGGCCAAAGGAGCAGGGATGGAGCTCCTGACAGCCAACACACAGAACACAGGGATCACTATATTTCAGTATCAAACTGTGCCTCTAATGTTAGTTTTATGCAGTCTACAAAAATATATCTGTATAACAGGAAGTCATAAAAGCCTAAATGTAATTGGCATTTCAAAACAAAGCCATCTGATAGATGCAAACTTTTTTCATACTAAAACGGCTGGATAATTTTCATTCTAGGTCATTTTAACACTTTCAGAGGATCAAATTTTACATATGCAAATAGACCTGACAGCTGAGAAAGCATTATTCAAATAGTGTTTTAAAACAAAGCTCCAAGGTACTAAATATAAAAAGCTGTATGAATTGCTAGCAACCCACAGAACATATTAAAAGCAAAACACAATAAACTAAAGACACTGAGCCTCAGTTAAATCCCACAACATGTTCTTGTACTTGATATACAGTATTTTAAACCATAGTGCATAGGGAGTTTTGGAGGTAAGCACACCATACAGAGAAGAGCCTGGAATCTTGTACTGCCAAAAACTCCTGAAGAAACCTGATGAGCACCAAATGCTTTCACTCTGGTACAAGCTCTCTTCCAGATGAACAACTTCAAAGCAGGGGAAGAAAAAATTCAAGAAAAGGTTGTTTTTACGTTCACAAAGCTAGGAACTCAGGATCTGAGCATTTTAAGTGTTCTCTTCTAATGGCAGGCAGATATCTGCCCATAGGGGATGCTTTGCAGGTACAGTGCACCAAGTGAACTGCTATCAACAAACTGCTGTGCATTTCTACAAAATCTCTGAAGAGCTGTCTAGAAATCTTTCCAGTAAAAAGCCACCAAACCAACCTGCAGGACACATCAGAACCCAAAGTCCACTACACTTTCAGACCTTATGATTTGCCAAAGTTATTTGAAGATTAAATGCATGCAGACAGACCAAAACTTGAACTATCACAGAGCATTAAACACTAAAACTCTTAAGAAACAAACTATGTCATTTGAACTAAAAATAAACAAAATATATGTGCTATCTTCCTTGTAGCATTACTCTTGGGGGCCAAATCACAAATATGTAGTGAATGTTTTCTGAAGTATTCCGGGAGATCAAAGCATAAACATTTATAATGAAACTTGCTATTCAAAGAACATTCTAGTACTCCAAATATTTTAAACTCTAGAACAATCTACTTACTCCATTTGCCTATACAGCAGTAAAGGTAATTATGCATCCAGTAAATGGAAAGATATATCCAGTGACAAGGAGAATCTAGGGAGAAATCTTAAGTTTTTCATGTCCAGAGAGAAAAAATATTTCATTTTCAAAGAAGATTAAATTAGAATACATTTATTGTTACTGCAACTCAAGCCTCCACCTTAGCTGGTTTGAAGATTCATATAACTAATGTGACATTCTGGTGTCTTAACATTTTCTAAGTCATAGTCAATAACAGAGAAATAAAACACAGGATCACCTACACAGCAGTACAAATACAAGATCTATCTTCTACCTGTGCTACTCAGCAGCAGGAAATCAAAAGTTAACTGACTTAAAGGAGATCCTCAAGTGACACCATGAGGGTGAAAAAACTGGATCCCCTGCAGTAAAACTTAACTAAAGCTGGCAATAAAGGCAAATCCAGATACTGTTTTCAGTAGCAACATCTTACATATCTAACACAACTAGGGTTTGTAGATACCAACTTGCAGTATTTTACTGTAGACTGACAAGAGTCAAACTAGAGAACACAGTATACTTAA